TGATAACATTGTATTCTTCTTCCTCAACACAAACAAAGCAATTGCTATTAATTCCTAAGGCATTTAGATTAAGGGCCAAAATTAGGGAGATTGGGGAAGGCAGGACAGAGAGGAATTCAGTAGAAAGCTATCATATGCTGGTGAAAGAACTTTGGGAGATCGGAGGAGGCAAGACAGAGGGGAATCCAGTAGAAAGCTATCATACTCTGGGGAAAGAACTTTGGGAGAACGGAGGAGGCATGACAGAGGAGAATCCAGTAGAAAGCTATCACACGTTGGGGAAAGAACTTTGGGAGAACAGAAGAAGCAAGACAGAGGGGAATTCAATAGAAAGCTACCACATGCTGGGGAAAGAACTTTGGGCGATCGGCGGAGGCAAGACAGAGGGAAATCCAGTAGAAAGCTATCACACGTTGGGGAAGGAACTTTGGGAGAATAGAAGAAGCAAGACAGAGGGGAATCCAATAGAAAGCGACCACATGCTGGGGAAAGAACTTTGGGGGATCGGCGGAGGCAAGATAGAGGGGAATCCAGTAGAAAGCTATCACACTCTGGAGAAAGAACTTTGGAAGAACAGAGGAGGCAAGACAGAGGGGAATCCAATAGAAAGCTACCACATGCTGGGGAAAGAACTTTGGGAGAACGGAGGAGGCAAGACAGAGGGGAATCCAGGACAAAGCTATCACACGTTGGGGAAATAACTTGGGGAGATTGGAGGCGGCATGACAGAGAGGAATCCAGGAGAAAAAACCGAATTGGGCTAGGATAGTGCGGACGGGCGGTGGGAGCGAGCGATGGAGCGGCTTCTGGAGAGGCGGGGGTGAGAGAGGAGCGATAGGGCCGGGGCAGGTGTTCCAGAAGTTTCTTCTGGGTCCACCGGTCGAACCTCCTCTCACTGGATCGGTAAATTTCACCATCCGGTTCTCCTGATCCGGTGCGAACCGGCAGAAACCCACCACTGCATAGTACCTTTCTATCTTTAAGGAGGGATTTGTACCACAGATTTTCTCAAATAGAATTATTTTAATCTTAATCGCCTGTCCTCCAAATTTGCTGAAATTCATTTTAAACTATTTCAGATTGGCTTTTCAAATTTTTGTTATAGTTTTAAAGGATTTTGCATTTGGAATCATGAACTTAATTGAAAGTGATGTCCTTAAGACATAAACTGTATTTAAACTACAATATGAAATTGAAATAAGATACTCTAACACTGAAACAAAGTAATTACCATTTGTTGGCAGGTCAGTAATTTTGTCGCCATACATCCAGTGCCAAAAAATAAAAAAAGAAGAATAAAGAATTAAACAGACAGTACTTGTTTACCTTTGCAACATTTTAAAATGTTTGAAGTAATCATATATAGAGATACTAACTTCAGTCCTCGGGTGGCTAAAATGTGATCTCCCTTGTGAAGGACAATTCTAGGTTCTTCTGTGCATGGAGTCGTACAGAAAGTCCTCACACCTTTCGTAACAGGGCAAAAGGCCCCATTATAGTCTTCTAATGCTTGATACCGTACCTGGAAAATTTGAATTAAAAACAAAAGTTGTTTAAGATAATTTGCGGGTTACAAACAATTGATTTCAATGCATTCCATAACTGGTAGGTTAAGGACTAACCAAAACAGAATCAATTAAAATTTTCAACACAGAGAAATAGCTCATAAGCAATTATTTATAATTTTTTCTTCTCTTTTTATTTGATTCTTCTTTTTGACTTCTATTTCTTCTCAACAAGCTAAAGACATTTATAATATCACACACATATAATGGTAAATAAATTACAACACATCTATAAAAGTAACAATATTTTATGCTATAATGGCATTATTAGTGTTTCCTGTTTACCCAACATAGCATTCAAAAATGTAGCATGAAACCATGCAGCTCTTAATTTTCAAAACAATATAATGCTAAGATCCATACGACAATATAGGCAGCCATGTGATGAATTGCTGATCACTTACACTTCTCACTCTCTTGTCAGCTTTCTGTTTTAACTGTTCAATCTGAAAGATATGAAGCAACATTTTAATAAAGCCAATTTTTCAATGCATTTACTTCACATTTAGTTTTAAGTGTGTAAAGGAAAAACAAGGGAAAATATCATACTGTTAAACTGTATTGATGGCAGCCTTCTCTTATAGGCCATTCCAAGCCATCTCCTTCTGGATTTCCAGACCATGTAAAGACTTGCTTGAAGTTATCCCATTTGCTTCCCAGGTCATAAGGAAATACAAAGACTTCTTTTGTTTGATAATACTGAATGCGATCTTTGGCCTGCAAAGAATGTATACAAATACAGTTGACAAGAAAAAAAAAACACTCAATTATATGAATATATTAGACTTCTAACATGGAGGAACTTTCATGTTACTCAACATTTAAATTTGTGATTATTGTGGTAAAAAATGAGAAAGGCTCAACTAAGATAAAAGAGAAATCTCAGGGCCCACAGTCACATGCAAGAGAAAGGGATTTTTTCCCCTCACTGAAGATTGCTATACTATTTGGTGTTTATTTTCTAATGCTAGAGCAGTAACTGTAAATAGGAACAGAGAGAACAAAACACCTCTATATTAATTATATAAGCAGAACCGTGATGTTTTAATAAATGTGATGTGAAGTGGCACATTTTTAACTTCTTATTTAAATACAGTGGACACTTTTAAAATCATACATTCTTCAGGATTAAAATTGGGCCAAAATATTACCATGTTTACCCGAAAATACAAAATGTCCTGAAACTAAAACCTTGCCACATTTTTCAGGTGGGCAAAAATATATGCCCCCCCGAAAATAGGCCCCCTGGACACCCCCCTCCAGCCAGGCAGAGCACTGACTTAGCGGTATTCCGAAGGTGCCAACCTGCGGGAGTCGGGGCGGAAGAAAGGCACTCATGTTGCTTGGCCCCTTCGAGATACCGCTAGGTTGGGGAGTGGCGTTCTGCGTGTCTGGAGGGAGGAGTTGCCGGGCCGCTGCTCCCTTGCGAGGGGGCTCCCAAAGAGCCAGACACAGCCTCAGGGGCGAAGCAGCCATGAGGTGACCATGCTCATGAGCAGCCACCCGGAAAACCCTCTCCAGCCGGACAGAGCACCATTCACTGACCTAGGGAGTATCCCTAAGGTACCAAGCAATGTATCGCTCTGCTTGCCCTGAAGCTCCCGCGGCTTGGCATATTTGGGATATACCCTAGGTCGGTGCATGGAACTCTGCCTGGCTAGAGTGGGGTTGCGCAAGCACCTGCTCTGCCCCCAGCTCGCATGACTCCCAGCCTCACCATGCCCTGGGCCAGCTGTCCTTGCAGCCGCCGCCGAGCTCCTAGAAAAACTTCTTCTCCGGTTCCAAACTCCGGAACTCGGCTTCTGATTCTTCCAGCAGCGCCAACTTTAGGAGTGTGCTCTATAGTTATGGGCAGGCTGCTGGAAGACTTTGTCCAGCAGCCTGCCGATAACCATAGAAAACATTCCTACAGAGGCTGCTGCTGGAAGAATTGGAAGCCGAATTCCAGAGTTTGGAAGCCAGAGAAGAAGTTTTGCTTGGAGCTCGGTGGTGACTGCAAGGATAGCTGGCCCAGGGCATAGTGAGGCTGGGAGGCATGCGAGCTGGGGGCGGAGCTGGCGCTCGCGCAACCCCCCTCTCTAGCCAGGCAGAGCTCCATGCACTGACCTAGGGGTATCCCAAATGTGCCAAGCTGCAGGAGCTTGGGTGAGCAGAACACCACATTGCTTGGCGCTTTAGGGATACTCCCTAGGTCAGTGATTGGTGCTCAGCACAGCTGGAGAGGGGGTTTGCTGGGTAGCTGCTTGTGAGCATGGTCACCTCATGGCTGCTTTGCCTCTGAGGCTGTGCCCGGCTCTTCGGAAGCCTGCTCACAAGGGAGCAGCTACCCTGCAACCCCAAAACAATAAGCCCTCCCCCTCTAATAAGCCCAAGCCATATTTCATGGGTCAAAAAAATATAAAACCCTGTTGTATTTTCGGGGAAACACGGTGTTGGTTCAATTTATATTGAGTATTAAAAGAGACAGTTCTATTAAATAAAAATAGTTGCATTTAAATAGGAAAATACCTTCCTTTACAAGAAATCAAACTATTTTTTATTTCATAATCTTTCACTGTTTCTTAAAAGCACTGTGCTGCTTCACATAATTCCTTAAAGTTCTTTACTGTATGCTGACCTCTAGTGATGTAATGGTATCACATATTAAAATTTATTTCTGGAATTATTTCTCAGATTATTCTCAGAATGGATGTGGGAGGTGCTCAGTCATGTCAGTGGTTGTTACAGTTCTTCCCTGAAGGTACAGGGAGACAGTTCTCTGAGTTTCTACATGTACAATGGAATGGACACACCTTACCAATAAAAGAAACTGCTTGTATGTAAAACCATTGTTTGTTTAACCATGATCTGCTGAATAAACTAAAATTGGCTACATTTGCAAAATATGTGGAATTATAAATAATGATTATCATATACCAATAGCTGGGTTAACTCAACTCACTAAATCAGATTGAAGGAAACTATATAGTGGAGAAAAACAGTCTGTCCTTTTTTTTTTAAAAAAAACCACTTTTGTGACTTTTACATCTAAATATCAGAAGGACTATTTAATTGGCAACATTTTTCTCTCTTTAGTGAGTAGCGTCTTAGGATGCAGAAGCTTAAATGAAGCTGAGCTGCCGCAATTGTCAAATATATAAATATGAATTTAAGAATGACAAAAGGACAGATTTATTATGAGCCAAGAGAAGTGAATAATTAAAAAAATGTTGCCAATTAGCCTTAAACCCAACATTTAAAAGGCAATAGTGGACATATGTGCTAGAGTCTTCTTGTGATGGAAGATCTTAGAAAATGTGTGAAAAGGTTGTAAAAGATCCTGGCTTAATTAAATCACATAAACAGGAAATGGTACAAAATACTGTTTATCAAGAATTACTACTACATTCTGTGGCATAATATATATTTAAATGAGTATTTGAATAATTATTTTTTACCTTTTCTTCAATCCATAATTCTATTGAAGTTTTATTCCTTAAGATTATTTTCATCTAGAAAAATTACAAAGATTAGCTCATGCCTACAATGTATACAGTGAGAAAAAAGAAATTCATTCCACATAAATTATATTCAGAGCAGTAGATCAAAAAATAGAAAACAGGAAACCTTAACAATACTGTTTATAATTTGAATGAATGAATGAACCAATATAATATAATTCTTTGTAGATAAACGCAATATACATACAAAATAAAAATTTAATAAAATTTAGGTAAAAACAACTCCCACACACAATATATTACACGACATGCCAAATGTGATCATTTATAGTCCGGCTTCTAAGGAGGCCGAAATATCTATTGTGTGCTGGACCCGTGTCCCTCTTGGTTAGTCTCGGCTTCCCGGGAGGTGACATGAGGCTGGCTCCAGGCGATTACCAATGTTTCGTTGAGAGAGGGGTTCTTTCCCACTGCCTTGAAGGAGGTGGTGGTGAGGCCCCTCCTTAAGAAACCTTCCTTGGACTCAGCTTCTTTAGCCAACTATTGTCCAGTCCCCAATCTTCGCTTTGTAGCAAAGGTTGTTGAGAATGCGGTAGCACGTCAGCTTCCCCAGTCCCTAGATGAAGCTGTCTACCTGGATCCATTTCAGTCGGGTTTCAGGCCCGGATACAGCACAGAGACGGCATTGGTCGTGTTGGTCAATGATCTCTGGCAGGCCCAGGACAGGGGCTGCTCCTCTGTCCTGGTCCTATTAGACCTCTCAGTGGCTTTCGATACCATTGACCATGGTATCCTACTATGAAGACTCGAGGGGTTGGGAGTGTGGGGCACCGTTTTACGGTGGTTCTCCTACCTGTCGGATTGGTCGCAGTTTGTGTTCACTGGAGGGCAGGGATCGACCCCA